AAGGAAGGAAGGAAGGAAGGAAGGAAGGAAGGAAGGAAGGAAGGAAGATAGATTGGAGGGGGAAGGAAGGAAGGAAGGACAGGGAAGGAAGAATAGGGAAGGAAGGAAAGAAGGGCAGGCAAGATAGGAAGGAAGGAAGGAAGGAAAGAAGGAAGGAAGGAAGGAAGGAAGGAAGGTGGATTCCCAACCCAGGTGTCACCTTTGCAGGATCTGTTGGGAGGAGGACCCAGTTGAGTCTTGGCTTCCTCAATGAACCGTTGCTAACTCAGGATGTACATTTAATGGTTTGCTATTTTAATAGGATGTTTATGGTCAGCTGGGAGTCGAATGGGAGCTGAAGCCCCCCCCCCTTTAAAACCAGGCCGGCTGGGGGATTCTGGGAGTCGAACCCCCCCCCTCTTAAAGTTTCCACGTCGGAGTAACCCTGTCTTAGCTCCTTCTAAATGACCTCGTCCTCCTACCCGATGGCTCTACTCGCAGGGCTCAGCCTGGCAGGCCAGATCCTGACCCATCCACCCCCGGAGGCCCCAAGGACTCTCTCTCCCATCCTCCCCAGCTCCTCCGAAGGGAAGAGAGGGAACTACAGGTAGTGCGTCAACCGGGGCCTCCTCCTACGCCTCTCCTCTTCACCCAGCGAAGGTTCAAAGCCCCCAGAGACACCCAAAGCAGGCGCTGGCAGCTGGCACCCAACTTAATCTTTCCTAGGAAATCTGCTCGGCTGAGTAGTTATCAACCCCCTTGATCTGCCGTCGCGTAACCTCTGGCGGAACCTCTTCCTCCCGCATCTCCGTCAGCGCGCACATCCTCCTTCGCCCTCTTGGTTAGTGGCAGCACCGGGATTGAGTCCCCGATCGCTGTCAGCCCAGGCAGGCTCGAAACCCAAGCTGGAGAAGCGAATTCTTATTTTATTTTAGCAAAGTTTACAACCCACCGAATCTCGCACGCCTGGGAGACTCCGGGTAGCTCTCCTCATCTTAACAACAGAGCCCAAATATCTGGTCACTTAAGCTAGGGAGCGTTTCCCAGGGTTTCCTGCCTGAGCAGGGCGGGTTGGACTAGATGACCTCCGAGGTCCTTTCCAACTCTTTGTGATTCTGGTCTTGTCCAATCTCTTCTTTTTTTTTTAATAACAAGTTTTATTCAGTTTTTCAGTTTGAAAGCAAAAAGGGTGGGGGGGAATCCAATCTCTTCTTGATAACCAGCAGGGCGGGAGGGAGGGAGAAAGGATAGTAGAATAACAGAATGGGAAGGGACCTTGGAGGTCTTCTAGTCCAACCCCTTCTGCTCAGGCAGGAAACTCTGTAACATTGGAGACCAATGATAGTCGAAGCTCTTCTTGAAAATCACCGGTGAGGGAGGGAGGGAGGGAGGGAAGGAAGGAAGGAAGGAAGGAAGGAAGGAAGGAAGGAAGGAAGGAAGGAAGGAAGGAAGGAAGAAAGAAAGAAAAAAAGAAAGAAAGAAAGAAAGAAAGAGAAAGAAAGAAAGAAAGAAAGAAAGAAAGAAAAAAAGAAAGAAAAAAAGAAAGAAAGAGAAAGAAAGAAAGAAAGAAAGAAAGAAAGAAAGAAAGAAAGAAAGAAAGGAAGGAAGGTAGGAGGGTGGAATGAAGGAGGGAGGGAGGGAGGCTGGAACAAAGGAAGGAAGGAAAGAAGGAAGGAGGGTGGAAGGAAGAAAGGAAGGAAGGATAGTAGAATAACAGAATGGGAAGGGACCTTGGAGGTCTTCTAGTCTAACCCCCCCCTGCTTAGGCAGGAAGTCGATTGTTCGATTTCTTCTTAAGCGCTTCCAGGAATGGAGCACCCACAACTTCCGGGCGCAAAGCCACTGATTAATTGTTCTCATTGTCAGGAGATCAGGAAAAAAAACCCAACAACTCCAAAGTCCATTCCAACTCTGTCATTCCTCGCCCAGCGCCGTCCCTGCCGAACCGCCCTACTGATAACTGCTGAATGTTTCTTCCCCCGTACAGGTGAGGCAATGGGTAGCCCAGAAGACGACCTGATCGGCATACCTTTCCCCGAGCACAGCAGCGAATTGCTGGGCCGCCTGAACGAGCAGCGTCGCCGAGGGATGCTGTGCGACGTCACCCTCCGGGCCCAGGGTTCCGAGTACCAGAGTCACCGGGCGGTGTTGGCCGCCTGCAGCCGCTACTTCCAGAGGCTTTTCGCCGGCCCCGGCCTGGCCGTGTGCGAGTTGGATTTCGTGGGGGCCGAAGCCCTGGGGGCCCTGCTGGACTTCGCCTACACCGCCACCCTGACCATCAGCACGGGCAGCCTCTGCGAGGTGCTGCGCGCCGCGCGGATCCTGGAGATTCCCTGCGTCATCGCGGCCTGCGTGGAGATCCTGCAAGGGAACGGTTTGGAAGCCCCCGTGCCGGATGACGCCGCTCGGGAACGCGCCCGGCGTTACCTGGAAGCGTTCGGCACACTGCCCAACATGGAAGGCGACCTGGCCGAGCCCCCCGTGCGCCCAGCTCCCCGCCGCAGCAAGAAAACACGCAAGTTCCTGCAAGCCACAGGGTCGCGGCTCAACAACCACGTCACGGAGATTTCTCCTTCCTTGTCGCCGTCATCCACCGGGACTCAGGACCGCCCCAGTCCGCCTAGCCAGGCGTCGCCTGCCCCAACATTGGGCAACCCCCGTGAGGAAGAGGAGGAGGTCATGGCCCCCTCTCGTACCTTCCCCTTCCCGTACGTTCCAGGTTTCTCCCCGGATGACCTGGGTTCAGACGACGAGCCCATGGATCAAGACCTCCTCTCCTATATGCGCCGGCTAAATCAGGAGGGGCTGTCTGTGGGTCTCGAACCGCCGGATAAGCTGGTACGCAAACGCCGCTCGCAAATGCCCCAGGAATGTCCCGTCTGTCACAAGATCATCCACGGGGCAGGCAAGCTACCTCGTCACATGCGGACCCACACCGGGGAGAAGCCGTTCGCCTGTGATGTGTGTGGCGTCCGTTTTACCAGGTAAGAGTAGATCTTGACTCGGAAGGAGCTATCGCATCACACACACACACACACACACACACACACACACACGAATTAATCCCAGTATTAAGAGGCTGGGTATCAAGTACTGCTTTTGGATAGACCAAAAGATTCCCCACTCATGGATAATTTTGAGAGGGAGGGAGGAAGAAAGGAAGAAAAGAAAGGAGAGGGAGGGAGGAAGAAAGGAAGGAAGGAGGAAAATGAGGGAGGGAGAGGGAAAGGAAAGGAAGGGAATAGAGGAGGGAAGGAGATGGAAGCAAGAAAGGTAATAAAATAGGGAAAAACTCACTTAAATATTTCACTTAGTAGCATAAATTTGGGGTCATAACTAGGGGACTACCTGTCATTGCGTCTCCTTCCTGACTCCATTTTCCTGGCTTCTTTTCGATCATTCTAAGGACTAAGCTAAGCATCGAAACACCTAGCAATGCCCCCTCCCTCAATTTACACCCATGTCCCTCATCTCTTCTTCCCCCCCAGGAACGACAAACTCAAGATCCACATGCGCAAACACACCGGCGAGCGCCCCTATTCGTGTCCCCACTGCACGGCTCGCTTCCTGCACAGCTACGACCTGAAAAATCACCTTCACTTGCACACGGGCGCCCGTCCCTACGAGTGCTGCCTCTGCCACAAAGCCTTCGCCAAGGACGACCATCTCCAGCGCCACCTGAAAGGCCAGAACTGTCTGGAAGTCCGGACGAGGCGCCGGCGCAGGGGTCCTGATCCGGAGACCGGTTCTCTGGCACCCGCTGGCGTCGCTTTGTCCTCCACTCAACTGGGTTTGACCAATGGGCGCGCGGAGGAGGAGCTACACAACTACTGGCCTGCTGGGGTGGCCGCTAGGTCACCCGCCCCCAAAGAGGAACAGGAGGAGGAAGAGGAAGAAGGGGCCGTAGAGGGGGTGCAGAAGGATGAGCCGATGGCAGCTGTCGAAACGGCATAACTTCCTTGGAATGGCTGTCACCGCAGAACTCATTCGTGCACTATCTCTATTCATTCGCTCGGCCAGCCCGTTGGTGGCAGGATGATACGACATTCCCTGGACATTGTCGTGGGGACCAAATGCACTAGGACTTCCTTCCCCACTCTCCCAATTCCGTGCCTTAAGTAGCCTACAAAGCCAAGGAGAGTGTGGCCAAATGGACAGAGGTGGATGGTGGCCCTCGAGGGCCAAATCCTTGCATGTTTGCTCAGGGTGTCTCAAATAAGTATATATTTGCAGGGAGGGAAGTACAGTCGAGTTTTGCTTCCCCAACCGACGAAAAATGAATGGGATGTGGGGCAGGGTGGGGCAGCACTATCTTGGGGGAGGGTCTATGGGGGGTGCATTGCTTCACATTAGGAAGGAGAAAAGAGTGAGAACGGGGGGGGGTGATTCTTTCCCTTTTCTGTTATCGTTTTAGGATCAGGAAGGGAGTAGAGAGACAAACCTGATTCCTTTTCCTGTTCAGGGTGCAGAAATTGAATTCTAGCCAAGTTTTCTTGCTCAGATGGGCCAGCATCTACTTAGATGACATGTTAGGGCTCAATTGCTGCATTTTTGGGGTTCCCCCCCCATTTCAGGGTGTCAAAAATAAAAAAAACTTCTTCCCCCCACCCCCACCAGATCATCCCAAACGGGCTCTTTGCAGAACAGGTGGCTTGCACCTGGCCTCCTGCTCTCAGTCCCATCATCCACAGACTTGCTGAACAGGGGAGATAGGAGCGGTAGCCTTGTTTCCCACCCGCCACCCCCCACGGGCATTTCGCAGATAGTCCTCGACTTACAACAATTCGTTGAACCAAATTCGTTTCACCCGCCCAAACAATTCGTTTAACCGTATTCATTTAAACCTGCCAGAAATTTCCCCCCAATTTGTAGAAAGAGTTTAAAAGCTACCCAAATATTTTTGGCCTTTTTCTTGACTCAAAGGGGGGAAAAATATGTTTTAAAAATAAACCGTTCGAAGTTAAAACAGGACTGGGGGGGGGGGGGACAACTTTTTCCACACTTAACGACCGTTGCAGCTTCCCTGCTGGCCACGGGATCGAAGTTCGGATGCTTGACCACTGGTTCTTACAACGGTCTCATCGTCCGGGGGGGGTGTCACGAGACCCCCTTTTGCGATGGGCAGACAAGTAAAAATCAAGACAGCTTCGACCTAATGAGTCTGTTGCGAACTTAGCAGCTGCAGTGATTCACTTAACAAGAATGATCGTAAAGCGCCCCCCCAAAAAACCCTCCTTTAAGTGGGTCTCGCTTAGTGACGGACACTTCGGTCGTAAGTCAAGGACTATCTGCACCCCTTAAGCTTGGCCCACGCACGTGTGCATCCAGCCAGCCCAGAGGGGGAGATTCCCATCCGATCCCGGGAAATCCAGTTTGGAAAAAGGAGATTCCTTGGGTAGCAATTTGGACCAATCCTGTGGCCTGAGCTTGGCTGCCCCCTGGTGGCTGCTTTGCACGTTGCGCACACTCACTCGCTCAGATCCTTTATATTATTAGCTTTGCTCCCCTTCCCAGAAATAGGGTGGGGGGGTTTCAGTGTGCTACAAGAAACCCCCCCTCCACACACACACACACACACACACACACACACACACAGACGCACACCTTCCTATACCGCTCCCCAGCTTGTTGCAAAACGATTAGCACGTAAACACGGCGGGTGTGCGTGTGTGAAAAGCTTCTTGTAATCCCATCTCCCCTCCCCCGTTGCTCAAGCCTGCCTCCTCCTACCCCCTCTCAACCAAAGGTAACCCCCCCCCAGGCCGTTTGCACAAAATGAATAATATTTTTTAAATTATATATTGTTGTTTTTTTAAACGGAACGATCCCACCCCACCAACTCTTAGAACGCTTTTGCAAACATTTTTTTCCTTGAATTCCCTGACTTGATTGCACTAAAATAGGCCTTTCACGGTGGGAAAACTTTCTCCCTCCTGTTTTCTTTTTTTGCACACTTTTTCTTTTTTTTTTTTTTTGGCGTTTTCCTGGAGACCGAAAGATTAAAAATTAGGGTGGGGTGTGCGTGTACATGTGTGCGTGCGTGTGTGTGTGTGCGTGTGTGTGTGGAAACCCACAGGAAGCTCCCACCCTCCAGAAGCATTTGCTGAGAGATTATCTGTATTTAAGAGAGATAATATATTTTATCCCCCTTTTCTGTTTCCCTTCCTCTTCAATCCCCATCTCCCCCTCCCTTTCCAGAAAAAAAAAAGAGGAAATAATTGAATTTTCCTTAGCCTTAAAAGTGCCTTTGCGTTTAAACTTGAATTAGCTACTTGAAACCAAGAAAGGAGAACAAGAGAGAGAGAGAAAAGCAGGTTCCCAATTATTTTATGCAACATTTCCTGTCTTATTTCCTCAGTTTCCCTGTTGGAAGACTTTTTAACGGTCCAACGTTGAGTAAACCACTCCCTCTCTTACGGCGTCCTCCCTGGCAGGGGTGGTGCTAGTCGAAATAACAAAAGAAAACCCTATAAACTTGGACTGTTTGGGGAAAAGGGGATGGTTCCTGGTTCGGTTTTATTTTATTTTATTTTTAAAAAAACTATTGTTATTGTTGTTAGTGTGCTGGAATTCAAGGAGATGATTATTATTATTATTATTTTTGTCTGTGCTAAGGGCTTGATAATAAAATGGAGACCGGGGAACTTTTGTTGTAGGTAGTTGTGTGTCAAGGTATCTTTTGCTCAGTTTTTGCACGACATATCTGGATCGCAACTTTCAAAGAAATTGTTGCTAGATTTCTACCCTGCAATCCAACTCACCGAGCTGCTAGATTTCTACCCTGCAGTCCAATTCTCCCTGAGCTGCTAGATTTCTACCCTGCAATCCAACTCTCCCTGAGCTGCTAAATTTCTACCCTGCAATCCAACTCTCCCTAAGCTGCTAGATTTCTACCCTGCAGTCCAATTCTCCCTGAGCTGCTAGATTTCTACCCTGCAATCCAATTCTCCCTGAGCTGCTAGATTTCTACCTGCAATCCAACTCACCGAGTTGCTAGATTTCTACCCTGCAGTCCAACTCTCCCTGAGCTGCTAGATTTCTACCATGCAATCCAATTCTCCCCGAGCTGCTAGATTTCTACCCTGCAATCCAACTCACCGAGTTACTAGATTTCTACCTGCAGCCCAAGTCTCCCTGAGCTGCTAGATTTCTACAATATGGTCCTATTTATCAAATGCCTTTTTTGACTTTGGGTGACAGGTGGAAGGATACATCCTGAAAACCATCACACCTGAACTCTAAAAGTAAAAAACAAACAAACTTGGGGGCCAGTCATTACCAAGAACCGGAGACCACCAGGAAATATTCATGCTGTAAAACAGAACCAAAAGCCTTTTTTTTCCCCAAAAAATATCTGTTGTTGGTTTTTTTTTGCAAAAAAAAAATCTGAATTCTAAAAGTTTCCTGGAAGCCCCCAAGGACACGAAGATTTGGGGTGTGTGAGAGAAATAATTCCATATTTTGCCCCGTGGAATCGCTCGGTGGAATAATATCAGGTGGACATCTCTACGTAGACAAGAAGATCGTTCCACAAGGGGAAAAAAGTCATTTTGGGGGGATTTGCCTCTCCACTTTATGCGAGTGAGGTTTTGGGTCAGCTTTTACTTCTAACTCCTCACCGCTGCTTATCTCCGCCTCGTTTTGGTAACTGAAGTCAAGGTGGCTGAAAAGGAGAAAAAGAAACACTCTTTATTCTATATTTCTTTATTTTAAATTTATTTTTTTTACTTTATTGCTGTGAGGATGCATTACCTTCCAGAAAGCCCCCAACTTGTAAAAAGAGTTTAAAAGCTAGCCAAATATTTTGGCCTTTTTCTTGACTCAAAGGGAGGAAGGGGGGGGGGGGGGGGGGAAATATGTTTTAAAAATATTTTTTTCTAAATATATTTTCCTAATTTACCTTTGCAAGCCATGATGCGGCTTGTTGTGGGGCCGGGCCAACAAGTTGGTAGTCATTCGTAATTCTCTGTTTATGTTCAGGGGTCTCCAAAATTGGCAACTTTAAGACTTATGGATTTCAACTCCCAGAATTCCCCAGCCAGCATCGCTTTAGGGACTTCGACTCCCAGAATTCCCCAGCCAGTGTCGCTTTAGGGACTTCAACTCCCAGAATTCCCCAGCCAGCATTGCTTTAAGACTTATGGATTTCAATTTATGGACTTCGACTCCCAGAATTCCCCAGCCAATATGGCTGGCTGGGGAATTCTGGGAGTTCAGGTCCACAAGTCTTAAACTTGCTAAGTTTGGAGGCTCCCCTGTTCTAATTGGCCAACCCAACCCATTGGGGGGCTTCTTTCCAGGATTAAGCCACCATTCAACCAATGACCCATGATTAAACCACAATTCAGCCATGATTAAACCCCCGATTCAACCCGCTGCGTCCCAGCCCAATGCGGAAGCCCCACTGACACCACTCGGCTGAATCATCTGCACTTTGGCTGGTTGGACAGTACAGAGAAGCAACTTTCCTCCTTCCTTCCACCCCTGCAGTGCAGGCCACTCCGTTGAAAATGGAGGGTGAGGTTTCCTGCCGAGGCAGGGGGTTGGACTAGAAGACCTCCAGGGTCCCCTCCCAACTCTGTTATTCTATTCTATTCTAAAACTGTATGGATCTATTGTGGGAACGACTGATGGGGGCCAATTTGCTTCTCACCTTGTGTCCGAACTCGACGTACTGCTGCTCTCGTCGTCTGAACTGGAGGAGGACTCTTCCTCGCTTTCACTCCCTTCCTCCTCCTCCTCCTCCTCCTCTTCCTCCTCTTTCAGTTGGGCCAAGATCTTCCTCGCCAGCTGGGCAGGCAACGCCCGGCACCCTCCTTCCCCTTTCACCGCCCGCAGGATCCGTCTCTTCAGCAACCGGCGCTGCTTCTGCCGTTTCTCATCCGGGACTCCACGCAGCGCACGGACGGCGTTGGTCCAGAGCACCATCGCCTCCTCATCGCTCGAATCTCTGGTTTAAAAGGGAACTGGGTTTAGAGCGCATCCTTTACTAGAGGGGGCCCTGGGGGCCAGGGGGGGCCTCGGTGCTCTCTAAGCTGGGGGGGTTTCCTGGCAGACGTTTCGTGACCCAAGTAGGGAACATCAGCAGGGCTAGAAGGGGATGGAGTTTGTGGAGAGGAGGAGGAGGAGGAGTATGAAGTCCTTGGGGTTTTCTGAGCTGGGTGGTTTCCTTGCAGACGTTTCATGACCTAACTAGGGAACATCATCAGTATTGAAGGGAGGGGGGGGTTGCCAAAAGGAGGAGGGGAAGAAAGGAGGAGGAGGAGGAGGAGGAGGAGGAGGAGGAGGAGAATGCCTGACATCCTTGGTGCTCTCTGAGCTTGGTTGTTTTTCTTGCAGACGTTTCATGACCCAACTAGGTAACATCAACAGTGCTAAAAGGGAGGGAGGTTTGTGGGAGGAGGAGGAGGAGGAGGAGAAAGAAGGGAGAAGGAAGGGAGGGAGGGAGGGAGGGAGGGAGGAAGGAAGGAAGGACGGACAGGGAAGGAAAGAAAGAAGGACAGGCAGGATAGGAAGGAAGGAAGGAAGGAAGGAAGGAAGGAAGGAAGGAAAGAAGGGATGAAGGAAGGGAAGAAAGGAAGGAAGGAAGGAAGGAAGGAAGATTGGAGGGGTAAGGAAGGAAGGAAGGACAGGGAAGGAAGGAAAGAAGGACAGGCAAGATAGGAAGGAAGGAAGGAAGGAAGGAAGGAAGGAAGGAAGGAAGGAAGGAAGGAAAGAGGAGGGAGAAGGAGGAGAACGACTGTCGGGTCTTTAATGCTCTCTGAGCTGGGTGGTTTCCTTGCAGACGTTTCACGACCCAACTAAGTAACATCATCAGTGCTAGACGGGGTTTGCCAAGAGGGAGAGAATGAGACCGATTTCACTTAACAACGGCCGTAAACTGCAGGCACTTACATTTCCTCGTCTATGTCCCCTTGGTACGTGAGGGGGGCCATACAGATGGAACAGGTGTTGTTAAGGATCCTGTAGCATTCAGGGCAGTAGATCCCTGCCAAGGATGGGAAAAATATCGAATCAAACGCCGCGCTTCCTTCCGTTCTCCCACCTGTCGTTCTCCCTTGGCTCATCTGCAAACCTCGGCAGGCTGGCGTGACGCACGTCACAAAGTCCTCGCTCTCCACACCCTGCTGGATCTTCCCGCAGCCCATGCAATACGCTTCATGCACGCCCAATTTCTTCACCAACCAGCGACACAGACGGAACCTGGGGCAGGAGACAAGTGTGTGTGTGTGTGTGTGTGTGTGTGTGTGTGTTTGTGAGAAAGCGGGCAAAAGAACAACACGCCAGGAGCAAAGAGCCCAAGGGGATTCTTGTGCGCCTTTGAGGCATCCATGTGTTCTGACCCAAACCCTTTTCCAATAAGACAAACACACACCAAAAGGAACAGAAAGAGTCTTACAAAATCCCCGGTTAAAAGGCTGCTGCAAACTAACTAACTTTGATAAGCACAAACCTTGCCAAAACTGGGTGAGGCTGCCAAGAATCACAGATAAGACATACTTCACAACACAAGAGACTTCAAATACCGTCCGAAGATACTATAATGTCCACGAGGCTGAGTTTCAAAACGTCTTTGCTTCCTGCAAAGAACGTTCGCTTCACAGCTGGCTTTTATCTTCTTGAAGGAGGGGGTCATTACCTTGCAGCCTTACTCCCGAGACGCCCGTGCAGCTGCAGATGCTCTTTCCTGCGAGCAATCCTGCACACACACGCACTTGGCACAGGCTCCTCGGGAAACTCCTCATCGCTGCTGCCAGCCCCCACAATCTCTGAAGGCAGCAGTCCAATCCCTGATGGTCCCGGCCCCTCATCTGCATCCTCGCTCTCCTCAGCCGTCCGCACCTGCTGCTGGCTAACCACGACATCATTCATTCATTCATTCATTCATTCATTCATTCATTCATTCATTCCTCCATCCATTCATTTTGCAGAATGGTGAGTCCATTATTAACTGCCACTCACTGGAAATGTCTTACTTTGCTGCAAAGACGAGTAAAATATTTCGGTGCCCTTCATCCGCCGAGTTTTGCCGTACGGCCCTCAGCACGGCGCTAATAAGTTTGGTCCTTCGAGTCAAAATCGTATTGTACAGGTAGCAAACCCGCTCCTAAATTGGGGAAGAAAATTTTATTTTCTTTAAACCTCGGAGATTGACACCTACCAACACAACCCATGATACATATCTCGGTCAAACGGGTTTGTAGCTCGCCTCGCAGAGTCCCCGGTGACTTTAATTAATTTTTTTCCTATTTCTTTCTTTTTCTGGTCAAGTTTTTTTTATTGTAGATTGCTTAAACATATCAATGTGTGAACAGTGTGATACCTAAGTATCATACCTTTTGGTACACATAAACATGATATTATTACTCATAGTTATTACATTTCGTTTTGTTTAAACATATCTCATTTCTAAACCTCCCTCTTATTATTACATATGTTATGCTGAAATAGGTATATTGTTGTTCCCCTCTTATTTCTATTTCTGTTCTAACTTTTATTCACGTCACCGTAGTATTCAAAGACATTTTTTTCTGCCTTCCATCCTTCACCTGTTTTATTATTCATATCTCCCTCGTTTAACTCTTCACATCTGTATAAAGGTTTCATCCTTCCTTCTTTCATTGTTCAGCGTTTCAACATACAATTCTAATATCAATCACAATATCGTTTAAACAGATCAGGTAGATCTATTCATATTCCTTCCATTCAACCAATCCATGTAATTTCTATTATTAATATACGTGCTTATCATATATATACAGTATATAAAAGTGAAGTGTCCCTCACGCATCATCACAAAATCTCCAGAACCGTAAAGCCTACAAACTTGAAATTTGGCACATAGGTTCCTCTTGGCTTCTAGGGGCTCACTAAGAAAGGATTTTTCCAAATGACCCTCAGAGCATTTTGATAATTTCCTATATTATTATTATTATTATTATTATTATTATTATTATTATTATTATTATTATTATTATTATTA